CAAGAAAGGAACAAACATTGCCACACGAAAGTATGGGTGCCATAATGAGTATATAGTCCCTCTCTGGCTCTCCATCACCCGTCTCCCATTCTTTAGCCATCTCCATATCAGAAGAGAAGCTTTACACATCAAACTTGACTAAATACACTAGTCTAGACAGAGTTATTAATAATTATTATTATAAACTCTCTCTCAGTAGTTAAAAGGGTATAGAGTTGATGTTCAATTTAGCAATAGATTATTTATGTAGTTTATTCTCATATTCATTAAATTTTGTTATTTGTTAATCTACCTGCCTGTTCTTTTGTTTAAATAGACACCAATTGAACGTACCTGCAACTCTCTCCACTCGACTATTAGCCCTCCTAAAATGCCAACCAGTGACCCAGTGAGTAGAACTAACCATTCTGACAATTAGAGGGTTTACCCTCACCTGTATTCTCACATTACATTTAAAAGTTTATATAAATTTATCAAATATTCATGTATATATTTAAATTAAAAAAGTAAATAAATTCTATTCCTATATACAGTATTACTAAAAATATTAACTTACATATCTTCAGTAAGTCGAAGAAATCCATGTAAAGTTCTTAACAAGGCGGAAAATTTTAAAGGAACAAATATATCTTCTGGTTTCAAATTTCGTATTATGGTTAAAAATTCCTCAAAGGATGAATTAATATTTAATATACAATTAAAAATGCTTATTAGAGCATGAAGTTCAAATTCATCTAAACCTGTAATATATAAAGCAATACAAGATATTAATTTATATAAAAAAAATTTCATCTAATAAATCACAAACATATTTTACCTTCAGGAGATATTGAAATTAAACATAAAGCAATACAAACGATATTCTTGCCGTGAATATTATCCAACTGTTTCAAAATCTCTCTCAGTAATAAATATAATGTTTGAGGATACTGTCGAAGTTTAGAAGTTAACTAACAAAAAAGAAATCACACATATTATATATATATATTAAATTTTCATAAAATATAAATTTTCTATTTAAGCAGCTACATCATTAAAAAATTCTGTTAATTGCTAGAACTAACCTAAAATTAACTTCTACCAAAATAATTATTATTGAATAAATGATGTGAAACAGTAAAAAATATATTTCCATTACAGAGAATTGAAATTTAACCTTCCTTTTTTACATATATTTTCCAATATCTTTATTACAAGTATATCATAAATTTTCTTTTTTCAATTGAGAAGTAATTGAGAATAATTTTATTTAGTTACATTGTATACATAAAACATCTATACACTAGAAAATTAACAAATTAATTAATTACTTTTTATCAACAACTCTCTTCTTTGTTAATTATATTATTTATCATTAAAAATATTTGNATAATTATCTCCACAGAATGTGGGTGTGTGGTCACTCTTAGCTTCATTTCTCCCCATAGACCTTACTGGCATGGGTGTCCCTGCCAGGAGCTTGTGCTCCAGGCTACATTGCTCTATGGTTCATTAAATTACTGGGCTCTCCCACCACGACCAGGTGGTGACCACGGGAGAGTCCAGCCTGCATTGCCCTATGGATCTGTAAAATTACTGGGCTCTCCCACCACGACCAGGTGGTGACCACGGGAGAGTTATTATTATTATTACTACTACTGTATTTATGCATGTATAGGTCATAAGCCACACTCCATTTATGAAACAATATAATTGAAAAAATAAAAATTTTAGTTCCACTGAGGGACAAGAGTAAAGACACAGGTATACAGAAATGTGGCAACATTGCAAATTTCAAACAGAGATGAAGTGATAGTTATTGCTTATTATTGAGTGCTTGCTCAGTGTATGTTAAACATGGGTCAATTGAGAATGAGTTACACAGCAAAGTTTAAATTGCAAATGGTGCATTATGAACAAGAAAATGGAAATTGAACGACAGGAAGTTTGATGTACACGAAAAAACATGCAGCGATAGATTCAAACAAAGGATGCTCTTGAGAAAACATTACAAAATCAGCAGTCATTTTGTAGAAAGATAGCAAAATGTCTCAACCTGGAAGCAAATCTGTTGAGATATATATTCATGAAATTTGGGCAAATGGATTTTTGGTATCTGTTGAAATGATTCAGTTTGAAGCTCAAAGGATTGTTCAAAATATGAAAATTTTCAAAAGTGAATTTAAGGGAAGTTACAGTTGGGCAAGATGTTTTATGACACAAGTTTGTGATTCAGCATTGAAATTCAATGGTGTAGTGGCTTCCTGATATGAAGAGAAACTGCTTGCATTTCAAAAATGTGTTTTCAGTTTAAGAAAGACATATGGCTATGACTTAAGGGCAATAGGCAATACAGATGAAACTCCTGTCTTCTATGATATGCCAAATGAGACTACAGTCAATCAGGCAGGTGAAAAAACAGTTCTGCTGCAAATAGTGGGAACAGAAAAACAGTGTTGTACTGTAATGCTGTGCATCACTGCTGATGGAAACAAACTGCCACCTTACATCATTTTTAAATGTAAAAACCCTGCCAAAAGAAACACTACCACCTGTAATATTAGTATGAGTTCAAGATCAAGGCTGGATGACAGAAGAACTCTACATGGATTGATTGAAGTCAGTGTGATTTTAGCATTCAGATGCACTGTTACTTTGGCAGTCCACATTTGTTGTTAACAGCCTCTGAGGACATCTGACTGAAATCATGAAAAAGATGATGAGGGAAGAGAAAAGTGACATGGTTGTGATACCAGAATATATGACTAGAATGCTGCAACCATTTGATTTATCCATCAATGATCCTTTTAAAGCTCATCTGCGACATTTCTACCATAATTGTATCAATAGATTCTCTACAACGAAGATAGTGCCAACCAGGAGGCTAAGAAAATCTTCCCTGTCTCAGATGTGCAAATGGATTGTGGTTTTGTGGAAACTAATACCAGAAGAAATGATGTCCAAAAGTTTCAAAAGTCATATCTATTTCCAATGTGATGGATGGGTCAGAAGATGATGCAGTGTATCTTGCATTATCTGGGAATGAATACTCAAGTGACATTGGTAGTGACAGTGAAGTTATACCGTAACTGAAGAACATAAACAATGGCTGTCAGTTTCAAATGAAGACATTTTGATTATAATTTTTAAATTCCTATAGTGTTATTGCTTAATTGGGACTTCAGACAGCTTCACTTTTTTTCTTAGTGCCTTTTTCTACTTCTTGCTTCTCGCACCTGGTGGCCTAAAACCTCCAAATAATCTCATTACGAGTTTTAAGGTATGTAAAGACAACTAATGGTAATAAAGGGCTTTACAAGTTTAAATTGTTTTAAAATTATTCATTATCTTGAATATAGGCCACACCCTAATGTTGGACAAAAAATTTAGGATAAAAAAATGCGGCCTATACATGTGTAAATGCAGTAATTATTGAAAATAGTGTTCTGTATACATAGTCATATTCCATTTGCTTAATAAATTACATCAGTTACATGGCATTTAGCATATTGTACAGAAATATGTAAACCTTGGATAATTCGAAGTCATGATTATTTCGTTCCTAGAATTTTAAACTAATGAGGATTTCCTGTATTACACATTATCATAGATCAAAATAAAAGTTAGTTAAAGTTTTATAGTATTTTCATGTTTATATTAATAATTGTATTTAAAATACTTCCATAAAGTACTTGCAAAAATACTTCCATAATTATAAGTATTGTAGTAATCACAAAATGAGGTTAATAAGCAAAATAGTTCTCAATAAGTATGAAACATCATCTTGAGTTTTTTTTATAATACTGTTAATTTTTAGTTCTTCATTAATTCCAAACCTGATTTCTTTGCATAATTGTTGAAATCTAGTGCTTGTGAAAATTATATGTATTAGTTTAGATGTTATAACTTTTTGTTGATACAGGTAGGCCTCCTACAACGAGGTACCTTTACAACGCGTTTTCTCTCCAACACGGTTGGAAAAATGCGGAAATTTTCTTACAACGTGGTTTATTGTATTTAGAAATGAATTAACTTTCACATAACAGAAAAATCACAACAGATCACATGATACAAGCTGCAGTTTGGCATACAGAACTGAATGTCCTTGAAAGCAGCTGTTGGTCAACATTGGCGTGTTATTCCCTTGAAAGTTTCAGGGGAAGACTGGTTTCTAGACAGATGTGCATCAGTTACTGTAAACACTCAAATATATCACTAAATTTTCAATTATTTATACTCCTTCAATAAGTGGGGACTGCAAAAACGGTCCAAAATACAGTATAAACTTCTATTGGATGTATATTTTTAACAACATAGTGAAGGGAAGTTATTTTTTGCAATTTTTACTGTCCACAAAACTGATTGAAAAAATTTTAGCCATAACAATGCCGAATGAAAAGAAAGGACCGTCGTTAAAAAGGAAATTTATAACACTTCAAACAAAGATAGAAATTTTGGATCAAATTAAAAATCAAGAGCAGATAGCTGATAGTGATAGGCATTTTAATTTAAATGAGTTGACTATTCGGTCGATTAGGCAACTGGGAGAAAAGATTAGAAATTTGGCCGTATCCAGATCATCTATTCTTGCGAAAAATGTTGCTTGTTCGAGAGCACCTATAATGGAAAAAATGGAACAAGCGCTAATATTATGGATAGAAGATATGAACAAGAAATGGTTGCCTTTAAATAAAACTGTACTTAAAGACAAAGCCTTAAAAATATTTGATTATTTAAAACAAAATGGGACAGTCGTCAGCTGATGAAACCAGTGTTAAATTTGTGGCTAGCAATGGCTGGTTTGAAAAATTCAAAAAATGCCATTCAAATGCCAAGCTTTTCTTTCTTTAGAACCAAATCCCAGTTTTTGTATTAAGTTGGTGTCTCCTATAATGCGATTTCCTACAATGCAGTATTTTCAAGGAACGTAGCTACTGTGTTGTAGGAGGCCTACCTGTACATTATTTTTGATTTTAAACTTAAATTTTTAATTTACATTTTTAAAATTTTTTTTCCTGTAGATTTTACATATGTTGTGATCAGTGCCAAGATTGGTTTCATGGAAGGTGTGTGGGTGTTCTACAAAGTGAAGCTGATTCTATTGATGAATATATTTGTCCTAATTGTCAAAAGAATACAGATATTAATCATGCCAATCTCAAACCATTAGAACCAAAAGATTATGAAAATCTTAAGAAGCTGCTCAAAAGTCTTCAGGTAAATCAGTTTATATCAAAAAAAAAATCATGAATGTGCGAAGAATTATATAAATTATACATTTTTTTTTTATTTTTATTGTTTTTCATGGTAGTCTCACAAGATGGCTTGGCCATTCCAACGACCAGTTGATAGGAAAGAAGTACCAGATTACTATATCGTTATAAAAGAACCAATGGGTAATTAACAGAATTTACAGAATGAGTCTTATAATAAATAGAACTAAATTTTATTAAGAAAATAAAATTCATTTAATTCTATTTATTATTTTTCTATTTGTATTCAATTATTTCTTACTTCTAATATAACAATGATAGAATTGGCACAAATTAATTTAATAGTTAAATAAAAGTTTTCTGTAATTATGATCTTAATCTATAAATGATTATAATGAATATATAGTCAACTCGTGTTCATGAATGGCTAGAGGAACAGTAATTAGTTCACTTTATAGAAAATTTGTATTAACAATTTTCAGGGTTATGGTCAAGGTTGTATAATAGGCAGTCAAAATCTAAATTATAATACAGTGGTGCTTTGTATAACGTACTTAATCTATTCTAGGTGCACGTCTGTTAAGTGAAAAGTCCGTTATATGAAACGCATTTTTCCATAGAAATACATGTTAAAACATAATTCATTCTGCAGCATAAAATAACCATACTGTACCATAAAAAAATGAAAATGGAGCAGTCGCCAATTATACCGGGTAGTCAGATGTTGTGAGGAGGAGGTGGAAGAACACTTTATTCACACATTCATACAGATACAGACTTTTTACATATTGCAGCAGGTGTCTTTTTATTGTTTTTTAATCGGAGTCAGATTCAGGAGAGGCTACTGGGGCTTGCAGGGTCAACTCCTCTTGTTCCATCCTTTGTCTTTTGGTAGCTGGCTTCTTGAAAAACATGTCCAAGGTGGTCTGTTTCTCTCTCTTCTTCAACACCTGTCAGAAATGATGGCCAAGGGTGTCATTGTAGAGGTCATTGATTCTGTTGGTCTCAGCTCTGTTTGGATAATAAGTGTTGGTAAACTCCTGACCCTTTCTCCATTTGACAAGGAAGTTTTTGTCAACTTTCACTCCTTCTGATGGTTTCTTGCTTTGTTTCAATTGAAATCAGCTTTGTTTTTTTTTAGAAGCCATGATTTGCACAACACTTGAATAAATGTAAATACTCTGCACTGAGGTGATGTACTGTACNTTTTGTCAACTTTCACTTCTTCTGATGGTTTCTTGCTTTGTTTCAATTGAAATCAGCTTTGTTTTTTTTTAGAAGCCATGATTTGCACAACACTTGAATAAATGTCTAATAAATAAGGGAGCAATGCTCCCTTATTTATTAGAATATATTATAAAAATAGCAGATTGTCATTGGCAACGGCAAAAGAGTGGAAACATCATTCGCACTTGTTCGCAGAAAGTCCGTTGTTCAAGGCATCTGTTATATGAGGCAACACTGTATTTTGAATTAACTGACTAAAAAAAGTTAAATAAAATTGATTTCAAAATCAAACAAAATAAGGAGACTATTTTCTGTTTAAGTGTGGAACAGCCTCTTTGTGCTCTCTGAGTGGTAAGGGGCCTAAAACCACAAATAATAATAATAAAAAGCGTTGAGCAGTATATCAGAGTGGTTAAGCAAAAGAAAACTGAAAGAAATCCACGATTTTTTCCTGTTGAAGATTGCAAAAGTATAAAATATTTTTTGGCACCAAAAGAATAAAAAAGGAGTAAAATTTGGCACAAAAATAGCCAAACCTGGCATTACTGTATGCACTCCCTGATATGCAAACTAGCATGTGTTTGCATGGGTTGCATCCATTTAAAAGGGTGGATGTCCTTAAACTTTAACCTGTTTTTTGAGTGCATTGAATGGTCTGCTAAAACCAGATGTTTGAATTGCTCTATGATTGGAAGTTGAACTTGTCTTTGTTTACTCAGAGAAAATCTAGACTACTCAAAATAGAACAATTATTATAGTACCAGTTTGCTTTTTACACTTTTCGACATGAATAATAAAATCATTATTGGAAGTAGGGTTATTTCTTGTGGTGTTGTGAAGGTAATTTACAGCCTTGTTTTAACAAATTCTGGTAAAATTTTTGTTTGCTTTAATGCCATTGTCAGTCACAACATTAATTTTCATGTTGTAACAATGGCAATTTGCTAGGGCAATGGCAGAATTTGCTTTAACATGAGAATTCATTTTATGGTGAGTTGACTGTGTATACATTTATTTATTATTTAATTCTTCACTCTGTGGGCTTTGAGAAAGAGAAAGAGTTCCATAACTTGCTAATCATCTGCCAATAATTATTTTATTAGATGGTTGATCATTGCGAATTATCTGATACTAACTATAGCTCTGAATGTTAGTTCCAGTTAACCTAACTGGAAACCAAGCTAAGAGTCCCTAATCTAACTTACAACTAGGACTAACTGAATTTATACTGAAAAAAGATAGAAAATAAGAATTAAAATACAAAGTTAAAAGGCAGCTATATACTGACAGTTGAAACAAAGCAAGAGAAAGCTAATTGCCATCCATGCTCCTGGAGTGAGTGCTCTCAAGAGCCCCACTAAGGAATATGAATGCAAGTAGATGATGGAACATCGTACGCGTGTGAATGAGTTGGTGCAGGTTGCAAGGCCAGTTGTACCCTTCAAGAATAACAGCTCTCAATAAGCTATCCTTAATGTGATTGTACCTATTAATGAAAAACTAAGTGAAGTGGTGTTTGCTCCTCCTGAATACCACAATTACATTGTGGATTGTTCCCAAGGTTAAATCTATGCAAATATTGCTTAAAGTTGACGTATCCTGTAAGTAGCTGAGTCAAGGTGTAACTAGGATAAAAGTGGCGAAGATTCACAGTAGTGTCAACCTTGGGGATGAAAGTGTAGGTGAGCCTACCAGTGGTGTCATGGTCCCAGCTGTCTTGCCAGAGAATGAAGATTTGCTTTCTTGACGTGATTGTTGATGTATGAGGTAGGAATGTAACAGAAAGTACTAGTAACTGAAGACTTTGCAGCTTGTTTGGCAAGATGGTCAGCGGTCTTGTTGCTGAGAATCCCTGCATGACCCGGGACCCATTGGAAATCTATTCTAATGTTGTTATCTAAGTGTCTGAGAATGTGGTGTATGAGATGGACAAGTTTTAAGCAGCTATCAGACTTTGCAATCCTGTGTAAAGCTACCCTACTGTCAGAATAAATGTGATAGTGTAAATAGTGTCTTTTGTCCTTCCTACACCTAATGTGAATTAAGCTCATATAAATAGCTAATGTTTCCGCCTGTGCTATTGAGCAGTGTGTACCTAGAAGGAAGCAAGCTCGTGGCCTAAGTTGGAGTAAACTACAAAGGCAGCACCCATCTTGGAACCTTTGGTGTAAATCCTAAACATGGGATGATCACCTGGATCTTTGAAGTAAACATCAGGGGCAAGCTAGTGGGAGGGGTGGTAATTGTAAGTCAGAAGGGTATTTTTGTTGATGCTGAAGTTTTTGATATCATCGATCAAGGTCAAACTGGGGGAATCTTACTTACTCTAATCATTTTATTGACATCTGAGTCGCTATAATCTCTCCAGAGTAAGGTGACGAGATTTCCTGGCAAATAATACATTTAATTTCTAAGTTGATAGGTTTCAATTCTGACATTACCAAAAGGGCACTAGTGGGTGCGGTCCTATAAGCCTTACAAATGCAGAGAACTGCAATCCTTTGAACAGATAAGATTTTACAGTTATGGACTTTGGTGGCCACGTGATCCCAGACCTGTACAACATAGTGGAGTGCTGGCTGAATTGCCCCCCTGTAAATAAGCTTAGTAGTGTTAAGGCCAAGGCCCCATGTGTTCCTAGCAATACTAATGTGGGCGTTGGCCGTCTTTTTAGCTTTGTCTGTGATATATTTGATGTGGGGTGTGAAGTTAAGTCTCTCATCAAGAGTAACACCTAAATATTTAATTTCCATTGTTTGCTTTTGCATTTGTCTGTGTTAATGGGTTGCCTATGCTTAATACTCCACTGATGAATGTTATTGAGAATGTTGTTGCATATGTCCTGTAAGCATTCACTGTTTCTGTGTGAAGCTAGGATAATGCAGTGTGAGGACAGGCATTGTTGTGAAGAGGGAAGTCAAATGACCAGGGATCTCCTTTGGAGAGCATCCTGGATCATTTGAATTTGGTTGTACAGATTGCTTGTTGTACAGAGCATAGTGTCCTGGTACTGTAACGAATTGATTGCATCTCTTTTATCCAGAAATTTGATAAGAAGCAGTCTGTTTCAAAAAATCAAGTTAGCTTGATCTTCCCCATATTGTTTTGAATAGCCTTTGGATTCTTGGGAAAAGGGGATTTTGGATGTTTCCATTAATGATTCTAGCACTTGGTGCCATCATTTTCAGCCTGATGCAAGTTTCATCACCAGCCACAATTTATGACAGATTATCTCCTTCCAACCTGTATTAAAAACAAGAGATGTTCCAAATGGTTTGCCTTCTGATTGGTGTTCAAGTGATGAGAAATCTATTGCATATAGATCTTTAGTGAAGATGATCATAATGATATGAGTAAAGCACTGTGACTAAAATTCACTAAACAAGCAAGCTTGTCCTTTGTGATATGTTTGTTATTGTGAGTAAGTTTGTCTGTTCTTTCAATGGTGCCATTGCATGTTGCAGATTTCAAATGATCTGTCAAAGTATATTTGTTGGCAGTGTACCCTTTTCAAAAATTTATACTTTCGTCTGTGATGGTTGTCAGTAATATACTAACTTTACAGTTATTTGTCAATGTATTTTGGGTGACTTCACTCCTTCAGTCAAAATGTGCATAACAGCTCGGTGTTATTTCTTTGTCAAATCCATTGTGGAAGGAAATAGTCTGATAATAAGTATATTTGATGTTCGTGCTATCTTATTCACTAGTGATAAATGTGATGTACAAGAATGTGAGAGAAAATTTTCTACAGATGAATCATCTCTTAGTACAGTACATTATGTGTAGTGTAGTGTCAGATCGATTATCAAGCTGTATCAGGTTTTCTGATCTTCATATACTGATCATCAGGCCCTATGAGAAAAGAGTACAGCTGGAGCCACAAGATTTAGAGGACCATCAGAGGAAAAACTTCAAAAATTGCTTGTTTTCTGATTTTTTCCAAATAATGAAAT